CTGCTTCCCAAAGGGGTCCCAGTCCCGGCCTGGACACCAGCGAATGCCCAGATCGAGGTCCCAACCCAGGCCCCCCCTCCAGCCTCAGACCCTGGCCGGGCCCCCATCCCCGCCTCTGCCCTTGTTCCACCTCCTGTCACAAATCCCCGCCCCACCCCGGTCCCAACCCCATCCCCAGGGTTTGCTTAAGCCCAGGGCCCAAACGCTGCCCTCACTCCGGTCCCCATCACAGTCTGTTCCTCTGTCCCAACCCCTGCCCCTGTTCAAGCCCCGGCGCCCAGCCCAGCCCAGCCCATTGATTCAGCCTTTGCCCTCTTCTCTGTGTGTACCCGAGCCTCTCCCACCACCCACCCCGCTCTCTCACACCCTGCCCCTCTCCCAGCCTCGGCTCAGGTCTGGGCCCCAGCTGCCTCCAGCCCTGTTGCTGCTGTTGCTGTTTTCTGTCCTTGGCCCAGGGGCTGGTGAGTGCAGAAGCAGCGAGGACTGAGGCAGGGACGGGGTTCTGGCAGGGAGGGTGGACTGGGGGGATTCGGGAGAGGTGGGGCCTTGGTAACTAGATCCTTGGGGAAGAAGTGGGGAGAATCAGGGAGGAGAGTTCTTACCATCTGAGAGGAGTTGGGAGGGTCAGAAGAGAGGCAGCAGCTACTGTGGACTCGAGGCTCAGCAGGTCCTAGGACAGACACACCAAGGTTTCCTTTCCCGGTGTCTGTTCTGACCCCATTTTGACACTTGCTCTTCCAAGGAAGTCTTGCTCCTGCTCATAAAGTTTGATGGGAGAGACATATTCCCACACCAGACAGCCTCTAGTCCGCTGTTGGGAAGAGTTAGCCTAAACTCTTGAGATAGTAGGCATGAAAGCAGGGTTAAAAAAGCAGTTTTGAAAAGAACATGTAGCAAACAGATGGACATGGGTTAGTTGCCATTATAACGAGTTTTCTTCTTGTAATGAGTTTCGTTCCAAATAAGCTTGATTTGCCTAGGAATAATTCCTGATACTTTTTTGTTTGTTTTTATTAATCCTCACCTGAGGATATTTTCCCATTGATCTTTTGGAGAGAGTGGAAGAGAGAGGGAAAGTCAGAGAGAAACAACAATGTGAGAGAAACACATGAATTGGTTCCCTCCTGCACACGCCCCGACCAGGGCCCAGGTTGGGGAGGAGCCTGCAACGAAGGTATGTGCCCCCTCGGCTGGAATTGAACCCAGGACCCTTTGGTCCACAGGCCGATGCTCTGTCCACCGAGCCAAACCAGTTGGGCAATTCCTGACACTTTCAGAGCAGGGTTGAAACTCAGAGGCCATTTTACAGATGGGGAAACTGAGGCTCAACAGGGGAGCAGTTTGCTCAAGGTCATACGGCTTGTAAATGGCAGCATTGGGGCTAGGAAAAGGTTTACTAATTACTACCCCACACTAGTTTTTTTTTCACTGCAATATGTGCCTAATAGGGAAGCAAACCCAAGCAGGGAAAGACTGAAAGCACAGCCTGTCCTTCCCCCTGTCTTCCCACAAGGAGGCTTCATCACAAACTCTTCCTCCTTTGCCAGTTGTCAGCCTAGGGCTACCATCCAGCAAGAAAGTGATTTGGATAAGAGAGGGAGAGGTCCAACTTCTTAACAGGTGAAATGTGAGAGGAGGAGAGGGGCTCCTCCCTCTGGTCAGAGGAGTTGTGCCATAATGACGGTCCCATCCTAAGGAGATGATTATGGTCTTCATGCCCCAAACCTCAGCTACCTCTGGCAGTTGGCATTCTAGAAAGGATGGAAATGTGCCTGGGGGAATCTTTGGCACTAATAACTAACAAAGTAGCTGGGGCTGGGGGGCTGGGTTTCAGTGAGTTCTGGGGACCTGGTTCAGTGTACAGACTTGAGGAGATCAATGCATCCAAAGGCCACTGCCCCAAGCTCACTGGTGTCTGGAACTTACAGGTCTGAGTGTATTTCTGAGGGATCTGTGGGAATGCTGGGCATATGCAGTGTGTGTACATGACCGTGTGTTGGTGAGTGCAGGCACATGTATGTTGTATGGGGTGCAGGTGAGCCTGTGTGTCTTCTGAGTATGTTATATTATTGTGTAAGGGGAGAGTGCGTGTTGTGGCCCACACATGTTCTCTTCAGCTCTACCTGCTCCTGTAGACAGAGCACTGAAGTGTTAGCTTCCCAGTGGATTGTTCCCTGTTCGGATGCCTCTCATAACACATACAAGGAATCCATCTGCCCCCAGCCTGGCTCCTTGAAGGAGGGCGGTAGCCAGGTCAGTTTTTCAGTTTGGGTGAGGGGGAGTCCCTACTGTTGAGCCCAATTCATAGCTCCCATTTTTGTCATCATGGCTTCTTTGTTCATGAGCTCACTGGGCAAGCAAGAGCTGACTCGGGGAGGAGGCTGGCTGACAGCCCCAGAGCAGTAGAAAGTGGGGAGATGTGGTTTAAAGCACGATTGTCCAGAAGCAGGTTTAAGTGGTTTGGGGAGAATTGTCATGAGGTTGGAAAAGAGTGCTGCATGGGCCCGACTGCAGGCAGGGGTGCCTTAGTGCTGTGAATAGTCAGTCGCTGCCTGGGTAACTGTGGCCTGCCCCGCAGGAGTGCTCTGTGACCTAGGTCCTGGGGGCGTGATGCACTTTGCTTGAGGAGGGGCTGCCAGTGTCACAGGACCATAGCGGCACCATCGGTCTCAATACATGCTTATTGTTGGCTTCAGTCTCATTTCAGGAATGGGAGGTATCACCTGGGTCTCCTGGTTCTTGAGCTCTGACTGCATTTGCATAACCCAGACAGGCCTTACCATTCCAGAAAGTGACCTTTTTTTCCTACCTAGTGCTGTCATTAGCAGGGCCAGCCTTAGCCTCTGTGTGTCTGCACGTGTGTGTGTGTGTCTGCGTGTGTGCGTCTGCGTGTGTGTGTGTGTGTGTGTGTGTGTGTGTGTGTGTTTCAGGTGGAGGAAGAGACTCACCGGAGCTCCATTTGGAAATACTGGGGCATCCAGGACAGATTCATCTGAGCTTGCCTGGGGCCTTCCTCATGCTTCCTGTGGGACACAGCTCTGTAGGCCCAGGTGAAAGAAACCCCAAACCCAAGCTTGGAGTGAATGGGGCTGTGCCATGTCCGTTTGGTTCGTGTGCTCATTTGTCCATTGTTTCCCGAAGACCATTCGCTGTTTTTCATGAGCAGCTAGCTCTCTGAGGGTCTGCTCTGGGGTCTGGCCAAGATTTCTCCCTAAGAATAGCAATGGCTCACGTGACGACCCATCCTGGTACCAGCCTTGGGGAGGAGAAGCCTCCCTGCCCCCAGCAGAGGGTGCTCCAGACTCTGCTTTCTTGTGACAGGAGATTAGGCTATCAGTTTTTGGCTTTCTGCCTTCCGGTTGTCATAGCCAGGACTCCTAGGAAACCTATCTTCCCCATAGTTGGTTCATTTCCCTTCATCCCTCTTAGACACTTTGCCACTGCTCTCTCAGTGCTGCTCTGTGAGCCTCTGGCTCCTGGGCAGTGCTCAGCTTGCAAGGTGGCACGTCTTCCTTGCTGACAGTAGAGACTAACCAAGCCGTCTGAACTGGACAGAGTAGTCCTTGGTGTATCCATGGCCTTTGGAGATGAGCACAGGCCAATCTAGGGCCGGTGGCCTCCACTTCTCTGCAGGGTAACTCTTGAAGTTGCTGCAGCTCAGTGAGGTCCACCTTAACCAGGGCGCATCCTTCAGCCGCCTCCTTTTTCCCAGGTGCCTCTTTCTCTGTTATTTCAAAGACCTCATTTTTGGAGTTAAATCTCCCATTTCCAGAGAAGGAGATTGTCAGACTAGGTAAGCCCTGTGGGTATTTACTATTTGGCTGAAAACTGCCCCAACCCCTGAAGCTGTGATTTCCTAACTGTCTCACCTGCATTGGAGGCATCTTCTGGCCTTCTCTGGGGCTAGCCTTAAGTCTCCAGGCTGTCAGATTCCCCAGAACTTTGCCTGCCATTTGGGACTCTGCTATCCAGCTGAGCTACTGGGTTATTTTCACTGTTACAGCAGTCCTAGCTGCTGACACCAGACTTTCCTATTCACCTTGGCTTCACTCCTAACAGCCATGATCAGGTATCTTAGCATTTCATTTAGAGACAACCCTTCCCCTCCCCCTGCCCTGCGTATGAATATTCCCAAGAGGTTTGAGATTCCAGAAGGTCGCCAGCTGACTGCCTCCCTGGGGCTCCCTCTGGGAAGCCCCTCTGGCTGCTCATTCTGAGCCCTGGTGACCCCCGTTCCTTCCCTCCCAGGAGCTTTGTGGTGGCCTGCCAGCTCCTGTCCTTGCCTCTGCCACCCAAGCAGGCCCCTTGCAGACTCACCACACTTTCCCCTTCCCCCTCCTGCCCTGAGCCAGTGTACAGACAGCTCTTGTGAAGCTTCTGAGGATTTTTACTGCTCCTGACACAGGGGAACAGAAGGGGGAAGGAAATAAACAAGGAAGTTACACAGTTTCATGCTGACTCCCAAGCCCCACAGGGGGAGCTCTAGCCAGCTCTGTGGCCGAAGAGCCCGTGCCAACACACACACGCGCATGCTCACCGCCCACACCTCTGTTTTGTTAGGCTTGGTAACAGCAGAACAATGACTCCTAAGTGAGGGGAGCTGTGGGGTCATATAAAGGGCCCTGGTTTTGGATTTATACAGATCTAGGTTTAAGCCTCAGTTCCCTTATCTATAAAAACAGGTCATTTTTTCAAAGTCATTGTAAGGATTAAAGCAGATGACGGTTAGGGGCAGCATGAGTCCCAGTTCCCGTCTCAGAGAAGAGCATTTGTTGAGTTGGTGCTATTGGTGAGGAAGACTGGTGTGCCTGCTGCTTAACGGAAATGCCCTCTATCCTACCTGCCCCTTTCTTTCTCGCCTGCTCCCCAGGAGGCCTCTTCCTGACCGATTACTCCACCTGCTCACCCCGCAAGCTGAGTCCTTTCCGCTCCTTTGCCAGCACCGAACTCTTCCACTTCCATGTTCCCGAGGACACATTCCTGGCTGTTTGGAACCTCATCATCTTCAAGGAGCAGGGGGGATCCTTTGGGGACCACTGCCCAGACCAAAGTGTGACTGTGTGAGTGTCTGAGTTGACCTCCTGACCCTCACTTCTAACCCCAGACAGCTTTCCAAATGAAAGTGTGACTTTATGAGTATCTAAACTGACCCCTGGCCCCTGACCCCTGATCCTTGTTGAGGTTGCAGTATGACTGAGTGAGGGCCAAGACCTCTGTTTCATGATTACTTCAAGACCAAAATGTGACTGTGTGAGTGCCTGAGCCGACCTTTTACCCCTCTGTGCCGGCCCCTACCTGGATCCACTTTGTTGTATGTGTCAGTGTAGGGCAGTGATGGCGAACCTTTTGAGCTCGGCGTGTCAGCATTTTGAAAAACCCTAACTTAACTCTGGTGCCGTGTCACATATAGAAATTTTTTGGTATTTGCAACCATAGTAGAACAAAGACTTATATTTTTGATATTTATTTTATATATTCAAATGCCATTTAACAAAGAAAAATCAACCAAAAAAAGGAGTTCGCGTGTCACCTCTGACACACGTGTCATAGGTTCGCCATCACTGGTATAGGGAATCTACTTATTTACTGGTGATGAATGACTGTTATCCTTTCTTTTCCCCATTTCTCATCTCCCGCCTCATTGCCTGCTTTCTTCCTCTCCTCATTCTGGTCCCCAGGTATTTCCGGTCTGGGGCACCCCCTGTCATCAATCCTCTGCACACACACTTCCCAGGGGACACGGCTGTGCCTGGGGTTTTCTCACTGACCCTCAGCTGGACACTGCCCAACCGCACGTCAGGCATCTTTAACGTCAGCAGCCCCTTACCTGGGGACTGGTTCTTGGCTGCCCACCTTCCCCAGGCCCACGGCCACATCTCTGTCAAGGTGGGTTGATGTTGTCTAGGGCAGGAGAGGTCAGAGCTGCTTCTCCATCTGTGCTGAATTCCCCTCATGGTTACCTGGGACACCAGCCTTGTACCAGGATGGGAAACTGCATGAGGGTGGCTGGGATGGACCCTAGTTAGAGGCCAGCAGGTCACTTGGTGGGTCAAGATCTATCTGAGGCAATTTGGGAACCTTAGGAGGACATGGTGGGTCCATGTAAGCTGAAAGGCAAGTTCAGTGTCTCAGTCAGCCAGAGGCCCCAGCACTGCAGAGTAGTGGAAGCTACAAGGGTTAATCGAGGTGATCAGAAGCCACTAGGGACAAGTCAAATGCTGCTGCGCAAACCCAAGATAGCCCCACTGACTCTTGTAGACTACAGCCCAGTCAGTCCATCTGGGAGAATGCATTCCTCTCCTGTCATGATTTCAGCTCCCTACACCCTCGGGAAGACCATGCAAGAACACTCTGGGGCAGGGAGGACCTTCCTGTTAAAAGGAGGCTTTGGGCAGCTGGTGTCCATCCAGACTACCTTTGCCTACCTTTACTCCAGGTATCTGTACTGATTTCATAGAGCAGAGGTGGTTAACATCTGAAGTGTATGTTCAAAGGTCAGAATGCTTTTCCTAGCCGGTTTGGAAGGAAGGAAATGCCACAAAGATTTCCTGCCACTCCCGAGTGTTGGGCAGACTTTCTCCTTGTAGTAATAGGATCTATAGTTTTCTTACTCCTGTCGGCGGGAAGGAAGGGCGTGATAAGCTGGTCATTGTCAAGAGTGGGATGGCCAAGTGTGTGTGGTAAGGACTGAGCATGAGCAGAGAGAGGACTTAAAGAACAGGATGCTAAAGAGCATGAATGCTATCAGGGTTTGGCCATTGAGAATTGAGAGGGACATAAATTCCCAGTCAGGTGAAGATTTGATCTGGAGATCTCTCTCCAGGCTGAGTTCCTTGCCGGGAGGAGCTCTGTGGCTGTGGTAGACTCACCTCTCTTCCTCCTACTGTAGCTGAATGAGCTGAGAATCCCACAGGGACATGTGTACTGGTACTGCTGTTTTCAGAATGGGAACTAGGGCTGATGGAATGTCTGGAGGCCTCGATGATAGGCTGTTTTTCCTGAGAGGGATGCACAAGAGAACTTGCTGTCAAAGTCTGGGAGCCCTCTAGATGAAAGCATGTTGGCGCTCACCTGGAAATGGCTCTGGGTTCTAGGTAGGTCTTGACTCCTATCAGAACTAAGGGTTATTCTATTTGGAGGACTGTCTTAGGTCTTTGGTCAAATTCCAAAGAGCCAGTTCCTCATCCTAACTCTGATCCTGGACTTTCTTTGTTAGGACTAGCAGGGAAAATCTTTCTGAAGCTCTGTTCTGGTTATCCAAAAACTTTTCTGGGTGGTCAGGAGGAAATAGGGACCTAGGCCTGGGTTGATATTATGGGAGCTGAAGCCTAGTTAGGAGAGGTCAGAACCAGGTTTGGTTGACATACCCATTTGCAACTAGATATAGCAAGAGGGGTGTGGGGGACTTGGTACTGCAAGCTGGAGCCCTATCCAGCAGAGCTCCCTGCAGTGTGGTGAGACTAGAGAGAAGAGGGCACAGTTACACCTTGCCCATGAATGTCAGCAGACCTGGACACCATGAGAGATGTAGCTCTTCAGTTAGGCCTGTTCTAGAGGTTCAACGGGTGAGGATGGGGAAGAAAGGATCATCTTTGTAGTCCCTCTGAGAATTTGACTACCTTTAGGAATCTTAAATGAGCTTCTAAGGATTCCTTAAGTTTTTTTGTTAATTCCCTAGATTCTAGCCTGTGGGTGGATTATCCAGAACATTTCTCCAGGGCTCCATCTTCTCAAATTGCTTTTTCCTTATTCCAGGTCTTGACTTCCTGTGAGGCTTGGCCAACACAGGAAGTATTGTGGGTTCAGGGATATCCTTGGGTGGAGACTGAAAAGTCCTAGCAATAAGAAGGCAGGACTGCCTCCTTAGTTTTGGGGGTAAGCTCAGACCTTCCTTTAGACCTTAGTCCTTAAGTACCTGCTTTGTCCCAGGCCTTGGGTTGAGTGCTAGGGACACAAATAAATAAGAAATATGGTAGTGAGATATAAGAGGTGTTTTGAGAGGACAAAGGAGAGATGGCTAACTCAGCTTGTAGAGGTGGTCTTAGGAAACTGTTAGAAGGTGAGGCCTGAAGTTGAGAAGGCAAGGAAAGGCATTGCAGGGTAGGTGTAGCATGGGCTAAAGCTTGAGAACTGTAGTGGTTCAGTGTGGGGTGGTTGTTGGGATGGGTAAGGGAGTGGGAGGGGCGAGCAGAGGCCTGATCATGAAGGATCTAGAAGTTTGAACTTTATCCTGAGAGTGATAGAAAACCTTAGGAGGTTGTTAAAGGGAAGTGACTTATCTGGTCCAGGCCACTATCCTGAGCTCTGGTCCCACACTTCTGCTAGCCAATGTGTCTGTGTTATTCACCACTGTATTCCCAGCACCCAGCACAGAGCCTGGCACATCGTGGGGGTGTGGCAAATTTTTGTTGCCCTTCTGCCATCTTCTCAAACTCATATTGTCCAAAACTGATCTCACTTCTGCTTTCCTCTCCTCTTTCTATCACCCTCTTCCATCTTGACCCATGCCCTCCATCTCCTTGCCTTTCCTGTCTCGGAACATGTGTTCATCCTGTGATGTCCAGCTGCCAGTCTGCCCTAAAGGGCTGGCCTTTGAACTGTGGGTAACATCTGGCACCCAAATGGCTCATTATGGGCAAGTTCTCCAAAATATCTGGGGCACAGTTCTCCTTGAATGCTTCCTCTCCCCAGCCTAAGATTTGAAAGTAACTGACAGCAGGTAAAATAATGAAAATCACGATAAGGAAACCAAATAAGCAGATTGTACAGAAGAAAGGATTTGGTTGAATCCATCAACTAGGATGAAACATGGCTCAGTATCTCAACTGAAGAGGTTAAAACCTGCTAACAGCTCTCATTATGCTCTTCCTCCTCCTCAATTATTTTGTTTGTGTTTTGAATAGGTAATAAATGCACCCGGTACAACATTCGAAAGGTACAAAAGGCAGTGAAAAGTAAGTCTTCCTTTTCCCTTGCCTCCCTTACAGTTCCCACTTCCCCTCTCCAGAGTTAACTAGTAACTAGCTGTTAATGAGCTCCTTACATCACTCTTCCCTTCTTGAAGGACCCTTCTCTTGGCCTTTACAGAACTCTCCTGGTTTTCCTCTTGCCCACTGCCCACTCCTTCTCTGCCTCCCTTCCCTGGTGTCTTCTCTGCTTGATCAAACATATTGTGGGGCTTCAATGCTTGGTCCTGGGACAGCTCCTTTCTTATTTATCTATTCTCTTTTTAAAAATATATTTTATTGATTTTACAGAGAGGAAGGGAGAGAGATAGAGAGTTAGAAACATCGATGAGAGAGAAACATCGATCAGCTGCCTCCTGCACATCTCCTACTGGGGATGTGCCTGCAACCCAGGTACATGCCCTTGACCGGAATCAAACCCGGGACCTTTCAGTCCTCAGGCCGATGCTCCATCCACTGAGCCAAACCGGTTTCGGCAATATCTATTCTCTATTAGATATCTCCAGCACAATAATTTTAAGTACCACTTATAAGTTATAACTTATAACCTATAAGCTAATGCCTTCCAAGGGTATTCAGTCAGTCCTAATTTCTTTGAATCTCAGACTTTATATCCACCTGCTTACTTGACATCTTCAATTAGATATCTAAGAAATGTCTCAAATTAGCCTGTACAAATCAAAGCCAAAAGCAAAAATCTCTCCAGTTCCCATTTCACTTCTCCCAGTCCAAGTCTTTTCTTTCTTTAGTCTTCTCAGTAAATGGCACTGCCATTCACTGATGGCTCAAGCTCCACATTTAGATGTCATACTTGATTCTTCTCCCCCCCCCTCACTTCTCTACAATCAATTCATAAAGAAAAGTCTCATTGAGTCTATTTCTAAAAGCATGTCCTTTATGCATCTACTTCTATTTCCACTCTTAGCACACCTGCCCTCAGCTTTCTCCTGGGCCACCACAGTAACCTTTGAAGTGGTTTCCCTGCTTCCACTCTTGTCCCCTGTAGTCTGACCAACACTCATTTATGTACATGTTGATTACTGCTGACCAACGGTGGGTGAGGGACTGACATGTAGTGGGTACTGGGATATTCTCACGAAGAAGGCCAAGTGATTTGGGGGCATCTTCAGTCTGCAAGCCCCCTCCAGAGCCTGGGACTGGCCACCCTGCTTAGGCCTTTCTAAAGAAACCCGGCCCAGCCATACTAGGACGGTCACAGAATCAATCTAGGGTGTACTGTTCCTGCTTCTTTCAGACTGTTTCCCACACCACTTCTCACTTTGCCCCTCTTGGTTTCCCAAGTTTCCAGGCTTTGACTCTGTTCCTTCCATGACAGCTGATGTTGACTCAGTTTGGACTCTCACTTGGCTTTTGCCTTGGCTGTTCTTGACGACTTTCATTCTGGTGCCCTTTCATTAGCACCATCACAGGGTGAAGGTCGCTGAATCTCTGCACCTTCCCTGGTCTCCACTGAGTGCGCCTCTCTACAATAAGGAGGGCTATTAGATGTGCGCCTTATACAGGAAGGAGCACATCTTAACCACTGAGGTATGCCCACTGATCCTTCGGTTAAACCACTAGCAAGCAATATATGGAGTTTTTCTTTCCCCAAACTGTCCAAGAAGGAAACGGGCCCCCTCCCGAGCATGGGCGCTGGCCTTTGGGGATCATTCACCACAAGAGGGCTGTGGGTGATTCCTGTTGTGGGAAGTGGGGTTGATGAAATGGCTTGTGCTAGTAGTTCTGGTCCTTAGGGTTTGATATCAAAGATGAGGGACATTTGCTTTGGGTATCAGAGATTGTGGTCCCTGAGAAATGAGGGATTTAGGAGTTCTCTGAAGGTACACTTGTTTTTTTTTGTGTGTGTGTGTTTTTTGGTATACTCTTTTTGATCTCCACTCTTTAACTCAGCAGGTATTTTTTTAGCATCTAGTGTTTGCCAGGTGGTGTGCTAGGCATTAGGGATGCAGTGATGCAAAAATCACAGGGAAATTCCAGGCAGAGGGTGATGGGACTTTCTGGCCTTGCATCCTTCAAGGCCGCCTTCCAGCTTTCCTGGAACTCTGTGCCTTGCCTGGCTAGCCCCATGGCGTGGAACTCAGTGGCATGTCAGAGCCTGGAACTTTTGCAGAACAGGTTTAGAGCTATGTCTCGGTCAGAATAAACACATAAGTGAACAGTGGCCTCTAGTTTATTGGGCCGCACAAGGTCCTCTAATCTCAGAAGATCAGAGAACCCTAATGAGGAGGCCCCTCCTCCCCTGAACTGCGCCACTTTCAGGGCTTAGATGCTGCAAATGCTGCAGAGACGGAACTGGAGTCAGTGGGACTGTCTGCTGGAGCTGTGTGGGTTAGGGGTGGTGTCAACTGAGAAGGGCCAGGGGTCTGATCCAGAGGAGCAGGGAGATGTGGCTGTGCTCTAGCCTGAGCAGAAGGAGCAGAGCAGTGGGAGGGGAGACAGAAGGCAGGCTTTGGCTTCATAAACGTCAGAGCTGCCCTCAGCTGTGTTGATTCATTTCTTCATTGATTCCAGCAAACTCATCTGTGAGGTGTACACTTTACAGTAGGCTCTGTGTCTGGAGGAACAAAAATAAGACCAGGTTTCTATTCTCAAGATGTGTACAGTCTGAAGGTTGCCTGGGAGGTAAAGAGTGGCCCTTCCCTGGGGGTGTTAGAGCAGAGCATGGACAGGTAGGTGGGAAGGGCAGGTGGGGAATGAAGGAAATTAGACTCACACTATGGGGGAGGGAGGAGGTTTGGATTGGAGGCCTCATGCAGCTTTACAATGCCCCAGAGCCAGTGTTGTAAGGTCCTGAGGGTGTGGTGAGGGGTTGGGGTGGTTTGAGATGGCCTTGAGGGGCTGTTCAGGAATGCTCAGGAGGAGGGACTAGATTGCAGGCGGAGCGGGCTGGGCCTGATTGTCAGAAGGGCCTGGTTTTGAATCCCAAACTTCAGCCAAGGCTGGGATCACAGCAGATCCTGCAGACCCAGGAGGGACAGAGCTAATCCAGCAGGAAGGACCCGGAACTTAGACGTCAGTCACTGCCCTGGGAGCAGGAGGCCAGAGGAGGTGTCTCCCTCCCCCTCCCCAGTGGTCATTTCTGTTCACCTTGCTTTAGCAGCGCCCTTGCTGTCTCTCCCCTCCTGCCACCCCTGCTTCTGTCTTAGGGTCTCCAGGATGAGTGTCAGTACCTCCTTCAGCCGCAGCTGATTGTCCGGCGTTTACTGGACGTCGCTGTGCTGGTGCCTGGCCGTCCCTCAGAGCAAACGCTCTCCCCCCACAATCGCTCAGCCCTATACAAGTAAGTTGAGTCCCCACCCCCCAAACCTAGCCCTTTCCTTCTTCCCTCCCTGACCTCAACTAGGGAACAGGGTTTTCTTGGCCTCTAAGCCCATCTGCCTGTTCCTGCTGTCCCTCTGGCCACCCTGGACTGCTGGGCCACCCAGAGCCCCCAGGGTGGGTTGGACTTCTGCCTCCCTCTCCCCCAGCACAGAGAGGAGGACCTGAAAAGGCCTCCCATTCTGGTGTCCCTAACTGCCCCGTGCCCCCTTCTCCCTAGTGCTGCCCTCATTCTGGTGTCCCTAACTGCCCCGTGCCCCCTTCTCCCTAGTGCTGCCCTCATTCTGGTGTCCCTCACTGCCCCGTGCCCCCTTCTCCCTCGTGCTGCCCTCATTCTCATGTCCCGCTCACCTTTCTCACCCCCAAACTCTCCTCTGCCCAGGGTCTTCGTGCCCAGCTTCACTTACAGGGTTTCAGCACAGTTGGTGTGTGTGGGGGGCCGAGGGGCATCCGCCTGCCCCCTGACACTTCGCCTACGTCCCAAGGCCCCACCCCTGCACAACTCAAGCTCTGTGGCATGTGGAGGTGCCTCAGTATGCCAGCTGGAGCTAGCGCTGCCCCCCTGGGGGCGCTGGGTCTACGTGCGCGTGGAGACACCGTCCCGGGGCTCTGGCAGGACCATCCGCTTCCAGCTGTGTGTGCGGTTGCAAGGTCAGAAGCCCACATCTGCCCCAGCCACCCAGGTTGTGTTGACATCGGTGACTGGGAAGAGGCATGCATGTGGCTGTGACCATTGCCCCTCTGCCATGTCCCTACAATCTCCCTGACCCCACCCAGGCTCCTTCACACTCCCTGAAGCCCTTCCACTTGGAGCTTGAAATCATCGGAAAGCGTTCAGATCATTTTCCCACCACTTGGGGCTCACGAAGGAACCTGATTACTCTCCTTAATTTAATCTCTCTTTCAGTTTCCTGAGTAGGCAGGGACAGCTAGGACCTCTGGGACACTGGCCTTGCAAAAGCCCATGCAAGTCAGTGAGAGGGCAGTCATTTGTTTCAACATGTCCTTTGGGAGGGAGAAATGACCTCGATTCCCTCCAACATGACATTCTATTAGCTGTGACCAGTAGGAAATCCCTGGGCCCTATCCTGTGACCCTGGATGCCCCACACTCCCAAGGGACATTTGATGCTAGTTCTCACCCCTCCCACCCTTCGCTAAATCCTGTCTGGCTCAGATCTGGTTTGTGGTGGGGCTGAAGGGCTGTGAGGGTGGCAGGCCTCAGCTCTGATTTCCTTTACTCCACAGAGTGCCCGAAGCCCAACCTGTCTCGGGCCCTGGCCCCTGGAGCTGCCATGAACATGCCCCAGTCACTGGGCAACCAACCATTGCCCTTAGAGCCACCATCCCTGGGTGCCCCCGTGGAAGGGCCTGGGGCCACATCTCCACCTGAGCACTGCTGGCCAGTGCGCCCGACTCTGCGCAATGAGCTGGACACCTTCTCCGTCCACTTCTACATCTTCTTTGGCCCCAGCGTGGCCCTCCCCCCTGAGCGCCCTGCTGTATTTGGCCTGAGGCTGCTGCCGGTGCTGGACAGTGGAGGTGTCCTTAGCCTGGAGCTCCATCTCAATGCGGTACTTGGTGGAGAGGGGGAGGTTGCCCCTGTGGGGGAACTTGAGAGAGAGAGTGACAGGTGTGGAAGACTATGCAGGTCGCTTTCACCCAACTTTAAGATTAGAGACCATGTCAGCCCAATTCTGGTCAACAAACATGCCCTGGGTGTTGACTCTACTGCGAATGGGCAATTCAGAATGGTCCAGATTTCCCCAGTTTTGTAGCTGATCCGCCCACTGACTAAGGGCCTCTCTCTATGGCAGGTGTTCACTTATCTCCTGTGATGGGACGTTCACCTACAGAGGCCATGTTTAGACAGCTCCCGTTGCTAATGGCAGTCTTGACATTCCATGCAAACCTACCTCTGTGGATTTTTATGATCTGATCTTTGTTTTGCCCCAGAAGCTATATTTCAGTGAATCTATCCCAGTCCTTTTAAAAAAAGTTAAAGACTTGATTTTTCAGAGCAGTGTTATAGAAAAATTGAGTGGAAAGTACAGAGAGTTTCCGTGTCCCCTCTCTTACCCCATATGGTCTCCCCAATTATTCACACCTTGTATTAGTGTGTGCATTTGTTATATCCCTGTCCTATTTTAGCAGCCCTTCAGATGCCCCTCAACCTTCTCAAAGCTGAAAAATATCAGCATCTTAGAGCTTTCCCCATCCTCTGTTGTCTCCTTTGGTCAAACCTCTGGTCTGCATGTCTCTGTAATAAATGGTCTGAAGTGGTCTGACCATGGTGTGTGTGCAGCCTGTGATCATATCACCTCTCTCTGCTCCTGCATCACACCGATCACCTGCAGTTTGGGGTGAATGAAGATCTCTGGGTCTTTTTCCTTTCCTTCCTTTTTATTTTCTTCAAAAACAATTTTATTCACTTACTTTTTAATTATAGAAATAACAGAATCACAGGTAAACTTTGGAAAATAGAGGAAGACATCCTCATAAAACAGCTGCTTAGTCTTTGGTGTCTATCTTCCCAGTCCCTTTCCATATTAACTTCTTATGTACCTAATTGTAACCAAGGGGCATACATATTTTGTGCCCTGCGCCTGGTTCATGTGACCTGCTGCCAAGTCCTAGCTCATATTTTTGTAGTGAACTGTTTAACCCCAATGGAAGAATTTATGTTCATCTTTGAGGCATTGCCTAAAGACACTGGTTTGGGTCTTGGGCTTTCTCCACTATGGTAATTCACATACTTGAAAAGCCAGCCTTCTGTACCTCTTAGTCATTATTTTCAGCATTGGGTAAGACTGGGCTGAGGGCAGAGTCTTGTATCAGGCCATTAGCAACTCTCTTTGGTTAGCATTGATCCAGTAGGATCCCTCAGCCAGGGATCCTTTTAATTCTACTATCCCCCAGCTCCGGGGCAGGGGCCATTTTCCTATGCACCGGCCTGAGATCTGGTCTGTGGCTTGATGCGGTCTTTTATGGTACATGGCTCAGAACTTCCAAGTGCTCCTGCTGGTCAGGACAAAGCTGATTCTTCAACCTGAAGATGCTCCTTATTTTTATACCCAAATTCTGTTTGACTCTGTTCTGGCTGAACACTGTACGTTGTGTTTGCTATTGCCATGCCTTTGGGCAATGACAGTGAAGTCTTGGTTTGATCTTGATGCTGTGGAGCCCATATCTGAGGCCAGCCGCACCCATACTTGTTCTTCCTCAGTATCCTGAGAGTAGAGGCCCAGTCCTGGGCAGCCCCTTACCCTGTCCCTCTCTGCATTCTTGTCCATTTACTCTAAGGGGCATCTATCTGCTTACATTCTACCTTTCTGCATGCTATGGCCCTTGCTACACACCTCAGATAGCTGTTGGATTTATTTTGAAAGGAATCTTGGCACATTTGTCATTCATGCCCCCCCCCCAAAGACTTTTATTGAATAATACTTTGGCATATTGTCCAGAGCTTGCATGGAGGAAAGTTGTGAGCAAGTTGTATGAAATTCAGTCTTGCTGTTGAGGACAGGATGCATGACAGCACACAAGCTTCTTTGATGAGGACTTACCTGAGAACTTCTGGATGCTGTACTTCTGTGCCTCTGATTAACCTTTATCTGATGGACTTACAAATCTGATCACTCATCATGTTTCCTTCTTTGCTTTGGTTGCTTGGGAAGTCAGCATCAAATATATGGCCCACATTTAGGAGCAGATTTTATTGCTCTATCCTGAGTTTTCAATTTCCCTCATGCATTTATTTTATCTTATATGTTATTTAATAAGCTGCCTCAAATCCTTCTGGAGGTGAGCTTATGGCAACCTGCTACCTTTATTCCCTTAGACATCCCTTTACATTTACTCCTATGGATATCCGGTTTCTTTAAATCCCAGCCAGGCTGCTACATTTAATCCCTCAGGCATTCTGTTACCACCCTGAGTACCTGATCATTTCACCGGGGGAAGAGGACATTTCTTTACATGCCTCCTGCCCTCAGACTCCGGTGAAGAGGTGAAGATGATTGAAAACCTTAGTTACCTTTGTTCACAACTAGTTTCTATATCCAGCAACAGCACCTCTTCCCTTCCCCGCAACAAGCTAGAGAAGATTGAAAAAAGGGGGGTCTTCTCTTTAGCCCGAACAGTTTAAAAATTCTGCCCAAAGGATTCAGAATTGGGCCTTGCCTTTTCACCAGTCTTTGAGGCATCTCTGATGTGGGGGATTTGGTGTCTGCCAAGGTTCTGTGTTCTAAAAAGGGAGGAGGGATTGGCTTTGGTGTTGAGCACCTGCAGGAATGTGAGGTCCCTGGAGGCGTGTGGAGTCTGGGGTGGCGGTGGTGGCAGGACCTGGCGGGTGGGACAGCTTCATCTTCACTCCGCCCTCCCCAGAGCTCCCTGCGCCAGGAAAATGTGACCGTGTTTGGATGCCTGACTCACGAGGTGCCTTTGAGCCTGGGGGATGCAGCAGTGACTTGTTCCAAAGGTGAGGGTGAGGAAGGGGGCAGGGAGAGAAGGCTGGTAGTCCCGAGCAGGGGCGGGCACGGGGTGGGGGTGGCGTGGAGGAAGGATGGGCTAGGCCCTAGGGTCTCGGGGAAGCGGGCCAGCGCAGGTGAGTGAGGATTCTTTACCTT